GAGGGCAGACAAGACGCGGCTGCACACACGCATGCATTACCATGCACACGCTCTTTCTAGAGCAGTGATTTTCCACCCTTTTCATCTCGTGGCACACGTAAACTCATCACTAGAATTCTGCAGCACCCAAAAAAATCTATTTTTTGCCACTATGACAGAAAAAAAACAGGTATAGTTTTGATTTGTTCACACCAGATGGCTATTGGTCTGTTGGTTGTTATCATTTTTTTTTTTTATTTGACAGTCTAAGGAAAAAGAGGTCAGTGCCCCTGACTAAATAGTCAGGTATTGCATATTTTAAAAATCCTTGTGGCACAGCAGCTGAAAATCACTGACCTAAAGTAAAAAACCACACTCCAGAGCCCAGACTGTGCCATTCCATTTATATAAAGTTCAGGAACAGGCAAAACTTATTTATGGTAACAGATGTCAGAACAATGATTAATCTTTGGAAGAGGTACAAGGGAACATTCTAGAGTGATGGAAATGTTCTATATCCTGTACTAGCTGGTGTTTACACGTTACAAATTCATTGAACTAAGTGCTTAAGATTTGTGCATTTTACTGCATAGGAGTAGACGTCATACATGCACTATATCCACCTCTCTCACTGGAAATCACTAACCAGATAGAACATGATTCCATCATAATGGGTCAGGCAAACCAGGAGTCGCCTGTGCACACACTAGCTGGGTGATCTTAGCTCAATCACTTAGTCTTTCTGAACCCAAACTTCCACATCCTTAAAAAAAAAATAGCTAGTCACTATGCCTACCTTCAGGCATTCCTACCTACACATCCCTTAGCCCTAGAGACAAAAAACTCATTGTATTTATGAATTCATGTGTGTGTGTGTGAATATATATGTCAATAACCTAGATGGCCCATCAGTACAGAGGACAGAATCAATAGCATCCAACAACTGGTTCACAGTTCCTAAAGGAAGGAAGAACTTACTATTTTGCCGTGTATAACGTGCACCCATGACTTTGGGTGCATAATACACAGGATTATTATACCCATGTATGTGATCATAATATCCATGTATATATAGTGTGCATTCTTATTTTTCCTAAAAAATTTGGGCAAAAAGGTGCGCATTATACATGGCAAAATGCAATAACGTGCAGGCAGTCCCAGAGATGAGTGGGAGGGGCTCCATGGGGTGCCCACCTGGACTGCGAGCTGGGCAGAGGGTCCTGCAGAAGTTACCAAGGCGAAAAGGCGAGCCGTGGGGACAGAGGGGAACTGGCCGCCGGGAGCCTGGGTGCCGGCCCAGGCCACGGTGCTAGGCAGCGTAGGCTGCACAGGACACAACCGCGTGGCTGCGGATTGGCGAATGGTGCCCTGCAGCTGCGCTGGGCAGGGTCGGAAGGCTGAGGCCTCCTCTGCTGAAGGTCCCACCTTCCCTAGAAGGAGAGCCTCCCAGGCCAGAATCGCCCCTTGGCTGCCTCAGCCCTTCACCTGGTGAGTTCTCAAAGCGGCCAAGCTCATCTCCACAGCTGGCTTGGTTCCCTCCCTACCTGAGGGTCCTGTTTCATTCACCCTCACCCCTCCACCCCCCGGAATGTGCCAGGAAAACTTCAAGGCAATGGTGTACCCGGACACCATGCTGCTGTCGTCGGGGCGGTGGGACCCCTGAGCTGAGCCATGTTAGGGGCCCCGCCCCATTGTGTCTGCTGACAGAAGTAGTATTGTTTTACCATTCATGCTGATAACCCTCTAATTGTGGCGGATTTGGAGCTTTGAGACATACAGCACAATGAAGATACGAACACATTTCTAATACATAGAGGAAGTCAAAACAAGTAAGGAAATGGTGCCACCAACAAAGAGAATTTGAGGCCAGAGGAATCAGTAAAAGCTAAAAACCACTCCAGATCAAGAGAATGTCAGACCTCAGGTGCTGGAGGGTGAAACAGCAAAACACATGATGGCGAAGTAAGCCTGGGTAAATACGGACTTGACTTCATGATAACGCATTGATATCAACTTATGAATTGTGATCAATGTACCGAAGTAATAGTAACAGTAGAGAAAATAGAGTATCTCTCTAGAAACTCTCTATGATATTCTTGGCCACTTTTCTGTAAAACTGAAACTTCTAAAGTGAAACGTTGACTAAAAAAATTAACTTCTGAAGAAGTAACAAATACGAACGTAAAGTTATAAAGTAATACCAACACTGTCTCCAGGTCACTTAAATCAAAATCATTGTGGGTGGATATCAGGCATAGTTGGTTTTTTTTAGGCGAAAAGACATTTATTATTATTTTAATATATAACGTATTAGGGGATACACCTGGTTGCAGGCATAGGAATTTTTTAAAGTGCTGGAGAAAGAGAGACACAGAGATAGAGACACAGAACACAGAGAACGAGGGACATGGTAGGTGTTATGGACCACGCCGTACCCCCTCCCTTCCCAAATTGAAGCTCCATGCTCGATGTGACTGTATTTGGGAGAAGGGCTTCTAGGGAGGCAGTTAAAGTTAAACGAGGTCATAAGCTCATCATTTTGCTCAAGAAGTTAGAAAAAGAACAACGAACATTTAAAAAATGGAAAGAAGGAAATAAAAATAAGAACAAAATTGGCTGTAATTGCAAACAAAGGGGCACTGCAGAGAGGGGACAGTTCATAAAAATGACAGCAGCATTATGGCTGACAGACAAGAAAACTATGAAAAGAAGGCAGAGCCCAATCAGGCAGGAAAAAATAGAAAGATAAATTGAAGCCAATCACGTGGAGAAGGAAATTAGGCGTATTCCAACAAGGAGCGCAGAATTTCATTTTCCTAAATCAGGTGATAAAAAGTGGAAGGAGATTACAATGAAAGTTGGTGCCCGGGGAACATGTGAGGTGCTTGTTTATAAATCTCAGCCTCCCTGGAGGGATTTGGTTGGGCCGGCCTCGGGCTGCCAGGCCCCAGGCATGCACGGAGCCCAGTGCTAAGAAAGAGCTTAGTGCCTGCTCATCTGTGACTCATGTAGAATTGGCCTAGAACAGAAGTCCTTAGGACCCCAGGGAGCTCTTATTTTCATAGGTTTTAGCTACCGATAATGAATGCATTAGAATTTATAACTAGAATTCAAAAATATTTTGGTCATTTAAAAATACCAAGAATAAATCCAATATATCATTTACAAAAAAAAAAAAAAAAAGCAAAACGAGAACAGTCCAAATGTTCACAAACACAAAAAGCTTCAGTGCGTTGTGGTTTATTTATACAATAGAATACAATACGGCATTTTTTTTTTTTTTACCAAATCTATAGATAACAAGATGTTAACAACAAATCTCAGGGTTAAAAATAATCTTTTGAATGAAAAAGGCAAGTAGCAAAGAAATAGAAAATACAATACCATTTATGTAATTTAAGGCAGAAAAAATTAATTGGTAAAGATTAATTGAATGCCAAGCTACATATGGGCTTATTTCAGCAGGTGGTGAGGGCTCATTGAATGAGTGAGTCATCGAAAGGTTTTCAGCCGGAAACCCACACCTCCACGGTGAAAATCATTCTAGCAGCTTCTGAACCTGCGGTCTATGCACAGAATTCAGGGGGCTTGTGTCCTTGCGTGGGGAAAAATTACATCTTTATTATCAGGAAATGAAACATTTCCCTGATAAGTGTAGTCAGCAAAGCTCAGTGGTATTGGCAGGACACATGACCACAGCTATTTCCTATCTCCTTATAGTTATGGTAAATGTTTTTAAATGTCTATCCTTTACACTCATCACAGCCCTACATCTGCTGCTGGGTCTCATTACTTAGTGACAGTGCAGAAGCACACAGACACCACTTCACAAATTAGATTTGTAAGACATCTTGAAAGTGCGTGCCCACCTATGGGAGTGCACAGCACCCCCCCCCCCCCAGCTTGGAACCCTCCTCTCTGAGCCCAGAGGCCCCCAGGCCTGGCTCTCTAGGGAGGGCAGGCAGGCCCCTGACTCGGCAGGGGCCTCAGCTCCTCCTCCAGACTGTCAGGAGCCACAGAGAGCAGTGGTCCCACAGAAACCAGGGTAGGCCTCTTGCTGGGGTTATTGCAAGGATCCCTGGGTCGCTGGGTGGGGGCGGGGCTGCCCGCTGCTGCATGAACAGCAGACTCCCAGGGCATCTGAATCTCTGCAGCCACCCCACCCGCGCCTGCACTTCTGTCATTTCTCCTGGTTGGCCTCTTTCAGGCAAGGCTCGTCCTAATTTGTGGCCTAATGACACATAAATAAAATCAGGAAGGGGACAGCATTGCTCAAAAACAAGGGAGACTGTCCCCTGGCACGGGCAGGGCAGGTCTGCTCAAATACGGAGTGGGCAAAAGTGTGTTCACCGCTGTGGGTATGCCAAACACAGAGGTGCTTCTTGGATTCTTATTTGTTAATTATTGTATTGTGTATTTGCATTATTTAGTATTGTTGTTACTTTGAATCCTTGCTTGAGGCCTCTCTTTTAGGAAATAACGGCCGGTAGCATGACCTGCTTTTGCCCACCCTTGTACATGAGAAGGAATGTCTCCGCGTTAATTGGCGCTTTTTGGCCCCGGTGACGCACGGACCTGTCTGCTCACCGACCACACCCCAACCTTGCAGGTGTTGACTGGTCTACAGTCCTTGGAAAGCTGGGGCGCAGGGCTCGCCTGTGGGCACCTACGGAACATCCCGTCTCTGTTCTGCCCTGCCCCCACATTCTCCCCCCACCCCCCCGCCTCCACGTGGGGTTTGGGCGAAGGTGGAGGAAACCAGAAGAGAAATGAGACGGTTCTGGCTTTGACAGAGGAAAGAGGGGGGCAGGCAGTGGACACCTCCCCTACTTGCCAAGTATGGGCCCCAGCGGGATCAGGGTTGGGGGGCCTGAGGCCTCGCCGACCCCACACTTTTCCATTTCGGGTTCAGGTGATGGCAGAGTTGAACCACAAGACGGAAGGCGAAGAGGTGCTCAGCCTAGTCCCGGCCAAAGGGGCGGTGCCGGCCACGGCCGCCCGCCCCGCCCCGCCTCCCGGCGCGCGGGCCGCAGCCTCCTGCACGCTGTTCGCCGGCTGCCCCTGCGGCAGCTCCGCTCGCCTTCCTCGCGGCGTCCGCGCACAGGTGAGGACAGGAAATCCCGCGGCTGATCCGTTCCGTTGAAGAAGGAACGGGAAGCTTCGTGGGGTTCAGAGCTGGGAGGGAAGGAAATGGAATCAGATTCCGCAGAGAGCCGGAAGGGGGGACCGAGGGACGCGAACCCCAAATTTTTGGCGGCGGGGAAGTGGTCCCTGCCATGACCAGAGAGTTGGACGCGTCTTTACCGATCGCCCCTGCGGGTCCCGAGATGCGCTGTGCGCTTCGATGCCTGCGGCTGCGTGGGGATCGGGGCCTCCCGGATCCTGGGGCGCTGGCTCCCGGGGGCCCCCAATCCCCGCATCGTTGTTTCCAGCCAGGAGCTAAAGATACCCCTCTGGGTCTTGAAAGGGCGACCCCAGGCTCGCGGGCCACGACCACACACAGAGACCTTTCTTGCTTGTGTGCTCTGGCAAAATCCCTGCCTGAGCCCTGTGCGTGTTAGTAAGAGCTGGAAGATTTATTCTGCCCAGCGTGCTGCGTACAGGTGGAAAATCCTGTCGGAAAAGAGACACTGATTTGTGAATATTTATTTTTCAATTTAAAAATCTCAGCAGACCCGTTCCTCTCCTTTTTCTCGCTCTTGGGGGAGGTGACGCTGGAATCGAAGCCCCAGCTGTGGGTCTTTCTCTGAAGTTCCTTCCTCGCCGCTCCGGGGCCCCCCCCCCCCCAACCCCGCGCCGTGAGGTTTGGACCTGGAGGGAGTGGGTTTGGGCTTTACAGAGTGCAAGGCGTTTGAACTTAATACATCGGGGGCCATGGACGCGTTGTCATTCTGTGTTCTCTCACCTGCAGCTGGGAGAAGAGATGTTCACGGTGCTGACACGCCAACCTTGTGAGCAATCAGGTAAGGATCTTCAGCGGGCAGCCAGCGTGGTTTTCTCAAATCACGGGAGAATTCCCGCCTCAGGTCCCGGCTTCTCATCCCATCCCCTGCCAGTGACTGTTGAACCTCTTTAGTTTGGTAACTCGGTTGCTCACGGGCCTTCCCCACAGGCATTCCTCATGGGAAAGCAATGCTTTTCATCAAAGCTACGCAAAACAAGGACTAACATGCATGTTTCGATCAAATGGTTTTTCCGGTTTGCATAATCCATTAATTTGGCCCTTGTGGTTTCCCTTACCCAGCCATGGGTAAGGTTTGCTTTAGAATAGTGTTGATTTTGTGGTGAACTTCAAAGTACCTGGTCCTTTCCTCTATCTCTGTTCAGTCGTGGTTGCTGGCCCAGTGCCTGCAGCCTCCTCCGACCCCCACCGTGGGCTCGCATTGCTGCGGCGGTGGCCCTGGTGCAGACCTCACACACTCTCTCTCTCTCTCTCTCTCACACACAAACACGCACACTCACACTCTTCCAAGTGCCCCGCCTGCCTGCCTTTGGAGCACTTTTTGCCGTTTCTCGTGTAATGATCCAGACGGCTCTCCACTCTAAAGCAGGCACTTTGTAATTACAGTGTTGGTCCTGCCCTCTGGTATCACACAGCTCTAGGCCCTGTTCCCTAACTCAGGGAGGCCTGGGCTGGTCCATTTTGCGTTGTGATAGACTTTTCTGCTGGGGCAAGGGTTTGCTTTAAGGTAACCATAGTTGTTTGGTTTGGTTTGGTCAGGGGCCTACTTACTTATCACACTGCCTCCCTCCTACAGACAGATTTTTAAGATTTTATTTATTTATTTTTAGAGAGAGAGGGAGAGAAACGTGGCAGGTTGCTTCTCGCAGGCCCACAACCTAGGCATGTACCCACACTGGGAATCAAACCGGTGGCCTTGCAGCTTGTAGGGCGGTGCCCAATCCACTGAGCCACACAGCAGGGCTGGGCATGTGTTCTTCAGTTGTGCCCCTAAATGGAGTATTTTTGTCTCCCAAAAGGATATGATTTTAGTATTGTGGGGGCAATTTATACCAATCTTTTTTTTTTTTTTTTAAGGGAAGCTGTACCTAAGGAGCTGATTTACTTTGGTTTCCAGGTTTCCCCCCAAACACTTAGAAATGTTAACACATATACAGTAACATCACACATACAGACAACCTGTTACATTCCTCCCAAAGGACAAGTTCAACTTTGCAGATTAAATCTCTGCTATGTCTTGTTAGGGGGGAAAAAAATCCCTTAAACTGACGTTGACATGTGGCTTCTTTAACACTTGACACTAACGTTTGCCTCTGTTAATAAACTGGCTCCTCGTGGGTTCTGGTGCTTTTCTCTGGAATCCCAGAAACGTGATCTAGGACCCCTTCAGACTCTGGAGGTCAGCGACAGGGTGGGTGGGCCTCCTTCAGTAGCTACTACAAAGGAGTCAACAACGAGCAACTTTGTGTCCTTTGACAAGGTTGGGACTCCTCTTGCAATAAATTCCCAGGAGTGGGACGCCAGTCAGACCATGTAACCATTTGCAGTTACTGTCAACAGATGCTGACACATTGCCTTCCATGGGTGCCGTGTCAGTTTTCACTCCCAGGGACAAGGCAGAAGAATGAGGGTGTTAAGTGACCACCTTTGATGGCAAGAAGTGTCTGTGGCAGCTTCTATACAGCAGGGGGATCAGAGGGGGCGGAAAGAATTTCCATTAGCCCACATTGGCTTGTTAAGACCCAAGTGAATGTCTGCTGGTAATCATCTGGTTGAGCAGTAGCAGTTTAAATTTAATAAATAGACAGAGCTCATTGTGATACACGATGTAGTATTATAAAATGTAATATGTGTTTACGTTATGTATTATTATATAATACATTTAGAATTATATAATTATCTTTATTCAGAGCCCGTGTATGTAAGAGTATTCATGTGCTTTATTTATTTATTTTGCTTTTCAATGGGTAGCTATAACTTACATGTTATGATGAAAATACAAATACTAGAGATTACAGGGCCCCTTTCGGACGGGGCATGCAGGTTGGGGTCTACTTAGTCCTTGTGAAGATGTAGGTGAGCCCTTCGTGCCTTCTCTGCACACACAGGGGACATGCGTGAGGGCGAGTTCTTAGCGGGAACCAAACGCTTGAGAAATGTCGATGCATTATCATTTGCTCTACATTGAGTCACTGTGTAGTGTGAATCATTGATTACACCTGAAGTACAGTGTCAATTTCTTTTTATCTGAGATTAGTTTTAAGTGAAATATTACCTGTTTTAATAGAAAACCCAAATTCTTGTAATCTCTGTAGAAACAAATGTTATAAATGATCTCTGGGATGACCAGTAAGATCCACAACATACTGTGAGAAATACCAGAAAACTAAACCATGCATACCCAAAAACTAATATAATACTGTATAAAACTAATATAGGAAATATGTTTAAAATTAATATATGTAAAATATATACATATACAGCTAATATAAATAAAAATAATATGACACTATATAAAACTAAATACCAGAAAACTATAAAACTACTAGATATAAATATATATAAAACTAATATATGTTAAAAATATAAAAAGCTAATGTATGTAAAACTAACATAATACTAGGTAAAACTAAATACCAAAACACTGAAACCATGCCAACACGGTTTTAGTCCACTCCTCGGAGGAAAGATAAATGGGTATCAGAGCCCAATTTCTTTTCCACCTTAAAAGTGCGGGTCTCACTAAGCCGCAGGCAGCGACTGCACACGGTTATGCACCCAGCCCCTGGGCCCTGCAGAGAAGGCAGCGCGCGCCTTGCTCCTACTCCCCGCTCAGGAGTCTTCTGGGTCTTCCCATCATAGGCCTCAAGGCTTTCTCCCGAACTCCGGTCATCATCGCCTTGGTGGCCTTGCTTTTGAGCGTCATGGTCATTGTGACGGTCACAGTCATCCAGACTCACCAGAAAGAGGTCCACCTCCCAGGACTGAAGGTCAGTGTGACGGGATCGTCGTTGGAGGGGAGAAATGGGCTGTGGCGTCGGCTGTTCTAATGCGGTGAGGAAAGGAGGAGGAAACCATGTTCCCCACCTGCGGCTGGCGGCTCGGGCCTGCCACAGGAGGGCAACCCCCTGGGCACAGGATCGGGGGGAATGGACACGGATGCAGGGCGTTTGTTGAATTGGGGGAGCAAGTACCCCACAAGTTGGGGGCAAGGCTAGGACCACCCTTAGACCCCAGTCACCAGGGCCCCTGCCCTGAGCCCCATATTCCAGAAGGACCAGCTCTACCTGCACTCCAAGTTTATGTCCCTTTGTGGGACAAGGGAAGGTGCCCACCCAAAGCCATGCTTCTCCTTCCAGAATATGCAATAGTGCCTGGGACTCCAGAATCCAGAGTCTGAACTCCTGGCGTGAGGAGAGGGGAAGGGGCAGCAGTCTGCAGGGAGTGTGGGCAGAGCCCGGCTGTGGGGTCGGAGCTGTCCCGCCATCTGCTGGTAGCACGCAGGTACACGAGGCCTTCTTCCTCATGGAACTGCCAGGGTGGGAAGAGCACAGGTGGATGCGGAGGGCAGGGCAAATCCTTCCTCTATAAAATTGCCCCTTGGGCCCTACAAGTTAGGCGTGGGCTGGTTAAGGCGGTGGCCAGCTGCTGGCTTCCGCTGTTCCTGGGAGGTAAGAGGTAAGTCCTCTGTTCCTCCTGGAGGCACTGGAAAAGGAAACTGAGTGGAGGAAAGCAGACCCTGAGGCAGGTGGAGGGCACCGCAGAAGGAGGGGACCACCTCTGTGACGCCACTCTCTCATATGGATTCCCCTAACCTAAGGTCTGAGTGCACGCAGGCCATCTGAGGATGGCCCAGGAAGCACAGGCAGGGGATAGGGAAGAGAGACAGGAGGGAGGCAGCCGCTAGAGGGCCAGCTATGCAGCTGGGGACCCCTGTGGGCACCTCAGTCCTGCTGGGGATGCTGGGAAGCCGGTGCAGAACCTGCTTCAGGGTTGCCCTCTGCCAAGGAGCCTTAGGAACACCTGCCTGCCTCCCAGCTGTCCCACTCAAGGGCGTGTTTACACACCAACTGCCATCTGTCATCGGGGAGAGGCTGCTGCTCCCTGGGGAACGTTAACTCTAGTATTTCTGGCATAGCGTGTCCTCGGGGAGGCTCCGGATGCTAGAGAAAGCCTTCGGGCAGGTGGAAAGTGCGTGGCTGGGCGTTACGTGGTAAGGTCTGAGGGACAGTGGGCAGGGAGCCCTCAGCAACTCTTCCATGTAGATACAGTTATTATCACCCCCCATTTTGCAAAGGAGGAAATAGAAGGACAGAAGGACAAATGGCTCCCCATGTTCACACAGATAGGATGTAGCCTGACTGGCACAGAAGGATGAAAAGAGCACAGAGTATTGGCCTCAAGTAAGGAAAGGCAAAAACACACACCCTCATCGATTGGCACACAGTTCAAAGCGGGGCTTTGGAATCTCGGCAGGGTCTGGATGTCAGGCCACAGTCACAGCTGCAGGGGACAGGTCATTGTATGACATGGGAATATTGGCTCTGAGGACCCATTCTGCTTCATTGGGTAGGTTCATGTGAGGAAAGACAGATGTTGCCCCGACTGGTGTGGCTCAATTGGTTGAGTGTCATCCCATAAACTGAAAGGCCTCAGATTCGATTCCCGGTGAGGGCACAGGCCTGGGGTGCAGGTCTAATCCTGAATTGGGGTGCGTGTGAGAGGCAACCAATCGATGTTTCTCTTGCACATTGATGCTTCTGTCTCTCTCTTTCTCCCTCCCTTCCCCTCTCTCTAAAATAAATACAACTAAAAGAGAAAGAAGGAAAAGGCAGATGTTCGGGACCAGGTGAACCCGGAGAAGGGGGGCAGCCTTGGAAGGGAACGTTGCGCATGCAGCTTTCCTCGGGGTGTCGAGAGACCTCTTTCCTTGCGTGGTGTGCTAGGGGCAGGAAGGGCAGATGTGCGGGTGCGGCTGAGTGACAGCAAGGGCTTTGCAATCGTCTCGTTTCTGTTCTCATACCTCAAGCCCTGTGTTCTTTCGCTTGTGCCTGACAGCTGGTTATGAGGGGCCAGCTCCACTCTGAGGGACCCTGGAATGCTCTTCCAGACCCTCCTGAAAGATCATGATATCTGGCAAGGAAATCCAACCTGGGTTTGCCTAACCTTTGTTTGTCTGAGTTCAAGAGCAAATTAATAAAACTTAGTCAGGATCTGCACGTCCCTTTTCGCTGTTACTGGTCTGACCTTCTCTAAGCGCTGGAAGTGTAACCAGGAGGACAACGCTTTTCCTTCTCCCCGAGGCGCCTGCTTGCTCTATTATCATTCAGTCCAGTGTCTTCCTCCTGAGGCGTCACTGTCCCCACCTCCGGTCAACAACTGTGAGGAAGCCCTGGAGTTTCTCCATCCAGCGTGATGGAGACCCCATTGTCATTGCCCATGCAGCCACCGGATGTCTCTGTTGAAGAGGGAGGGGCCTGCACAGTCTCAGGGTTTCCAGGGTGCAGTTTTTCTGCTGTGACCTGTGCAGGTCACATTAGTGCCCCATGTTGGGTCCCTCGTCCGTGCTTGGCCATTGCTCTCCAGAGTGCAGCCGCTGGGCCCGGCTGTGTTGTAACTCTTCCCTTGTAACCCTCGCTGAGAGGGGATCATCAGCGGGACCTCTGCTGCCGCGGCCCACCCACGTCTGCCCCTCGGAGGGCGAGAGTTGGGGACTCGGTTTCTTCCTTTGCAGAAAGCGCTGGCTCCTTCCTCAAATTGGACTGCGTCCTCTCTAGCCAGATCTGCACACCACTTAACCAAGAGTGTGCTTTCGAGGGGCTTTCTGTCTGCACAGTCAGTCTGCCCGGCTGCCTCCCGCACCTTATTTACTGAACAGTCACCCTGTGAGACTTGGTTTCCTTGGAACCTGATGAAAGCCTGGGGATTAAGAGTATAGATTTGAGAGTCTGTTAGACCCAGGCTTGATCCCAAGTCTGTGCCCTGGGCCAATTACCTCTGTGAGCCTCGGTTTCCCCACCTGTCAAATGGGGATGATGGTAACAGCTGCATTATCAAGGCACTGATACCAAAGCACTTTGTGCCGTGCCTGGCATATTATAAGTACTTAATACATATGTACTACTGCTACTGTTCTATTGTAGCAATAGTAAAGGTGATGCTAGTAATGGTAAACAAATCTAAGAAAGCTGATCTTATAACCTCTGTTTTCGCTTTTGCCAGAAGCTCATGCAAGCCTTAAGTTCTGGACCATGGGGTCCATAAGGAAGACTGTTCACTTTGTGTTAACTCACTGAGCATGTCTTCAGTTCCACATTCCAGCCCCGCTTCCTTCTGACGCTGTGTAAGGCAGAGGGTTATTTAACTGCTTCTCGTCCCAACCTTACTCAGCCCCTTCCTCCGCTCTGACTCCCCCTTTCCCCCTTTTATCCAGTATGGAATTGTGCTCGATGCCGGGTCTTCCAGAACCACCGTCTACGTGTATCAGTGGCCAGCGGAGAAGGAGAATGATACCGGAGTGGTCAGCCAAACCTACAAATGCAATGTGAAAGGTAAGGCCCAAAGTGGGCCCGGGAGGCCCTAAGGGACACAGGGGAGACTCCTATGTCCTTTCGAGGCCTGGATGGGTCGGTCCTGAGCAGCTGCCTGGACTGGGTGTCAGGAAAGTACGAGATCCTACGCTAATGCTGCTACTTATCAGTAACAGTGACCTTGGGTCAGTCCCTGCCCTTCTCCGGGCCAGTTTTCTGGACCACAAAACATGGAGGCTTGGAGGGCATATCAAGAGCTATGAATGGTCTGAGATTTTACCCTGCCACTCTTTCATGGTTGTTGGTGGAGACACAAGATTCCTGGGCCAGAAGTAAAGAACAGCTCAGCTGGTGTGGCTCAGTGGGTTGAGCAGCATCCCATAGACCAAAAGGCCACGGGTTCGATTCCCGGTCAGGGCACATGCCTGGGTTGTGGGCCAGGTCCCAAGCTGGGGGTGTACGAGAGGCAACCGATTGGTGTTTCTCTTGCAAGTCAATGTTTCTCTCCCTTTCTTTCTCCTTCCCTTCCCCTCTCTCTAAAAATAAATAAATAGAATCTTTTTAAAAAAAGAAATAAAGAACAGTTTATTGTTCAGAGCAATAGCAGGAGCCAGAGTATCCCTCGTTTTCTTAACGCTGGTTCTCCGAGGAAGATGTAAAGGGGGCCAGGCAAGATCTGCCCACACAGTGGGTTGTGTTACAGAAGAGAAACCCGAGACTGGGGAGTCTGAAACATGTACAAAGGGCACTGAGCATGCCTACCTTTGGCTTTGGGGTGCAGCCTCTCTCTGTCTTCTGAGCCTGTCTGCAGTGCAAACATCCTTGGAAAAAATAATCCAGAACAAAGGCAATCAGGGCCTGTGCTCATAAAACATGCAGAAACATGAGAGACTCACCACAAATTGTCTTCCAGGCGGTGCATGTGGGTGGGGGAGGGGTGGGTGGAGGGAGATGGACAATACAGCCTAATATGGGAGCGGCTCTGTTTCAGTAAAGCTTTCCTTACAGACCCTGAAATTCTGAATTTCATCTAATTCTCACAAGTCACAAGATACGATTTATTCTTCTGTTACTTTCCCTGCCCACCATTTTAAGGTGTAAAAACTATCATAGCTCACAGGCTGTACAAATACAGATGATGAACTTGATTTGGCCTCTGACCTGCCGATGCCTGAGACAGAACATTGCCAACATCTTAAGTGACCCTCCGCCCAACTCCCTGCCTCCCGACAACACAGCCTGAACGTTATGTTAACTGTTTTCTTGTTCTTCTTTATAGTTTTGTTCTTAGATAATTAGTTCTCCCTGTTTTCGAAAATGGAATCGAACTTGTATTTACTTAAGTGGAATCAAATATTTATTCTTCTGGAATTTGCTGTGTTTATTCACATTGGGTTTTAAGACTCATCTATGTTGGTATGGGTAGCAGTTGCTCATTCATTTTTCCCTGGTAATGGACATTTGTATTTACCTGGTTATTAGTAAGGTTGAATATCTTTTCATATATGTATGACCATTTCTGTTTTCTGTGAAATGCCTGTTCATGTCTTTTGCTCATTTTTCTAGTGAATTGCTTGACTTTTTCTTATTGATTCATTGAAGTTCTTTATACATATTCTGATTGTAAATGCTTTCCGGGTTTTGTTATATTGTTGCTAATATCATCGTGCAGTTCATGTTTTGTCTTTGTAGACTCTTCATAATGTCCTTTCATGAATAGAAATTCTTCACTTTCATGTAGGTGTCATTATCAGCCTTCTCCTTTATGGTTTTCTCTTTCATTTATTTCATTTAAGAAATTCCTCCTTGTTCTGTGGTCATGAAGATAGTCTTCTGTCAGAAACTTTATCATTTTCCTTTTCACCATGAAATCTGTCGTTACATAGTCAAGCCCAGTTAAGGAGTGTGCGTCTCTGTGAGTGTTTTTCAAAACCAGTCACTTCAGGGCACTCTGATCTTTGAGGTGGCCTGGAGCTCCCCAGTGAATGTGCCCTGTATGGATCACAGATAGACTCACAGGACAGCACGTTAGAGACTCCAGACTAGTCCTCCTACTGCCAAGTATCTCCTTCACGTCTCTCAATGAGCTGCTCAAATAGTTCAGTTTCTCAGGGATCGTGACACTGAACAAGTTGAGAGGCCAACTTGGCCTTTCCCCACGGTCTTCTTTTGAAGACCAGGGTGACTCCTGATCATCTGCCCTGCCATGGGGGACATCCTGGCGTTCATTCACCCTGATGCATAGATGTTTCAGGTTAGGTTTTCTAGAAGCAGATGTTGAGATAGAGGTAGGGAGGCAAAGTAGTTACTAGAGACGCACAGCTGGAGAAGGAGGGGGTAAGGAGAAGGACCCGACAGAAGGAGATGATGAAGTGCAGCGCCTCAGCCGGTCAGCGTTACCCTTCGTTGGGTAGAAACGGCCTGAAAGGGCTGGGCTGCGATACCCGCTCACCTCCTGTCATTGGTTGTTGCCGTCCTGAAAAGAGCAACACGTTAGCTCCCTGGAGCCGAGGCAAACTCTGAAGCTGCTGGCGGCTGGGACAATGAGTCTTTATTTGAAGGGTGTCTGTGTGGCACCTCTCTGGACTCATCCCAATAGGGAACTTGGACGTTTCCTGAGTCCTGCTTGGCCACAGGTCCCAGGGAGCAGCAGCTTGCCAAAAACCCTGTCTCTGTTCTCCTAACGTCTGAGCTATTCCTCACCTCCGAGCCTGAAAGAGGGCATGGGGATGCATGTTTAGAAAAGGGACACCACCTATTTCAAGAGGAGAGGATAGTGCAGAAGAGCGATCAAGACTTCACCTCATCCCTGCTGTGTGAGCTCTAGGAAGTTAGCTAACCTCTCTGAATCTCGGCCACCTCCTTTCTGAAAGTGAAACCTAACAATAGTAATGCCTCTCCCCTAAGAACGATTTGAAGATTGAATGACAACATATGTAAAGCAGGTAGCAAATGCCTGGCATACAGTAAGCCCTCAATAAGTATCAGCTATTATTAGTGATGGGGCACCCACACTTTAGAGCCCCCGCTGCATATCTTTGCCAAAAGGTCACTCTGTCCCATAGATACAAGATCTGTTTAGACCCAGGAAAGCAATTTAGCCCAGTCAGTCCTGATGTGCCTGTGACTTGCAGGGAGATGTGTGAGTTTCATGGGAAGGAACACAGGCAGTCCCTTGGGATGGGGGTCCTTGGCCCACCCAGGATGTGACTTAGGGCAGGAGCAGGGTCATGGAGCCCACACCACATCCACAAGCAGATCTCCCCTTCTTTGATCACAGTGGCTTCAGTGGTCCATATATACCCTGAATGACCGAAGAACCACAAACTAAAGCTTAATGACAGAGCTGAAGTTTGGTTAAGTGTCACCCCTTCAAGGCCATGTTGCTTCTCCAGGGATAATTGGGGTTTCTGATTTCTCAGTTGCAAATTTCCCCAGGATGCTCCCATCTGAGCCGATCCAAGTGGGGGTTGGGGGTGGGGGATGAACGCCTGCTTGCCCAGCCGTGTTTTCCGAGTACGTAGGCCCTTGGAAATGTTTTTCTCAGGGGGCTCCCTGGGGAGCCTCAGTCCTCAGCGGCTGCTCTTTTCCAGGAGTTCCCTGGTGCTGGTCCCTGTGCAGGTGTCTGGGGCTCTGGCGGCTCGTTGGAAAGCCCTTCCCTGGTGGGCACTGGCCCCGGGGTACCCTCCTCTATTTTGCAGGGTGCAGTGCTCCTGCTGGCTGCTGCCTTCTCCCACGGGGGACATTTGCGTTTTCCATTTACACCAGCGCTTAAAAATGCTTTAAACTCCGCTGGAGCCTAAACTTAGCCATCTCTATTGAAATTCCTTGAAGAGTTGCTCCAAGGTACAGGCCACTACTGTGTTGAAAGCACTCTTTGCTCGGGCACATTTTTTTAAAAGATTTTATTTCTTTATTTTTAGAGAGCGGGGAAGGGAGGTAGAAAGAGGGAAAGAAACATCAATGTGTGGTTGCCTCTTGTGCATCCCCTACTGGGGACCTGGGCTGCATCACAGGCATGTGCCCTGCCTGGGAATCAAACCAGCGATCCTTTGGTTTGCAGGCCAGCACTCAGTCCATTGACCCACATCAGCCAGGGCCACATTTTTTTTTAATCCTCACCCAAGGATAGGTTCTTATTGATTGTAGAGAGAAAGGAAGGGAGAGAAACATTGATGTGAGAGAAAAACATCAGTTGGTTGCCTCACATGTGCACCCCAATTGGGGATCGAACCCACAACCTTTTGGTATATAGGATAATGCTCCAATCAACTGAGTCACTTGGTCAGGGCAGGCACATACCATGTTTTGCTGTGTATAATGGACACTTTTTTGCACAAATTTTTGAGGGAAAAATAAGGGTGCACATTATACATGGGTATAATGATTGATTACATACCGTGGATATAATAATGGATAATAATCCCGTGTATAATGCACACAAAAACATGGGTGCACATTATACATGGCAAAATACAGTATCTTATGCTTCTGTCCCACCTTGAGTAAGTTTTGTGACCTCTGACCAGCCCTCTGTCCCCAGATTGGAATTAGTAGTTTTAACTCTGTCCTTGGGGTTGAGAATCCCAGTATCCCACAAGCCTATGACCCCAATCTCCTTTTCCCTCTCAGAGGCTTAAGGGACCTTATGCAAACAGGTCCTCTGGTGACATGCTTGGTATGCCAAGTGTTGACATTTTAGCAAGGCCCCTAACAAGTCCCTATTCAGAGACCGGCTCTAGCAGAATATGTTTTGTTTGCTCCAGCTTGGACTACACCATCCCCTTCCTGTAGAGTTGCATGCTGGTTTGAAAATCTCATTCTTGATTCACTTATTCATTATAAATGTGTATTGGGTGCCTGCAGTTTGCCAGTAACATTTCTTGAGACTGGGAATTCTAAAACAAATTATACAGTCTCTCCTGTTATGGAACTTACATTCTAATGAAGGAGGCGGGTAATAAATAAACAGATGTGTAATATGTCGAGGGGAAGTTCTATAAAGAGAAATCAAGCCAGGCAGGTGGACAGAGAGTGATCTTGCTATTTTAGAAATGATCAGGGAAGAACAAAGAAAGTGAGGGTTGACAGAGACAAAAGCGAGATGAGAGGGTAGCCATGCAAAATTTTGAGGGAAGAAGGCACTGAGCAGAGAGCAGGCCAAGAGGAAGGGCCAAGCGTGGGAGCTGCTCGGCGTTTACTAGGAAGAGCGAAGGGGCCAGAGTAGCTGGAGCGGAAGGAGGAAGAGGAAGAAAGAGGAGAAAGGAGAGAGGAGCTGTAGCCAGGCCGACACAGGGAGGGCTTGAGATCCAGTAGCGCTTTGACTTTGCTTCAAATGAATTTTCTAAAAAGTGTATCAGGAAGCCATTAGAAGATTCTGATGAGGGAACTAACAAAATTGTAAAGGCTCCGTCTGTTGCTGTAGAACACACAGGCAGGTTAAGATGAGAAGGAGGAAATCAGGACTTTCATAACAGTGCAGGTGACAGAGGATGTTCTGGTCTGGCCTAGACCTGCGCTTCTCAACCTGGGGCAACTTTGCCGCCGCAGGGAACATTTGGTAATGTCCGGGGACATAATTTTGATTGTCCCACCTGGGGTTGGTGGTGCTGCTGGCATCTAGTGGTAGAGGACAGAAATGCAGCTGAATGGCACACAATGCACAGGACAGCCCTCACAACAAAGGATCTTGCGGGGCCCCACGAGTCAGCAGTGCTGAGTCGGAGGAATTCTGATCCAGAGAGTGCTTCTGGGCGACGGGGGCCGGGGGGCGGGGGGCGCGGGGGGTGCTCAGATGTGAGAGGCATTTTGAAAGGAGAGCCAGCCAGACTTTGTGACAGATTCAAGGTGAGGCATCCAGGGTGATGGTGCCTGAGCATCAGTTCCGACCTGAGTTCCTGTGGGTCACGGTGCCTTTTCCTGCGAGTGGGAGCCCTGGAGCGGAGTCAGCTGGGGACATGGCAGGGATTAGGGAATTTGGTTTTGGACATAGTAACTTGGAGGTACCCATAACCCGTCTAAGTCAGGGCTGGCAGATTTTTCCTGAAAAGAGCTAGGTGAGCAGCTCTGGCCGGGTGGCTCCGTTGGTTGGAGCGTCATCCCATACACCAAAGCGTTGTGGGTTTGATCCCCGATCGAGGCATGTATGGGAGGAAACTGATCGATGCTTCTCTCTCTCTCTCTCTCTCTGCCTTCCTATCTCTCTAAAATCAATAAACATACCCTCAGGCGAGGATTTTAAAAAAAGAGCTAGATGATACATATTTTTCTACTTGTTGGCCATACGGTCTCTGACCTAACTATTTAACTCACCGCTTGAGCATGAAAGCAACCGTAGCCAGTAGGCAGACAAAAATGTATTTCAAGAAAGCTTTATTTCTGGACACTGTACATGCCTCATGGGATATACTCTAAGGACAAAATGAACTTTCTTAAAAACCTTAAACTTTTCTCAATAATCATCCGGTTGGTGGTAGTGTTGGTGTTGTCATGCTGAGGCTTGCGTATGGATTGTGAAGTAAAGCAAATGAGTTACTGAGTTGGAGTGCTACCACGCAGGACTTGTAGCACAGAAAAAGAAGGTAACGATATAAGATCGAAGAATTGAAGTAAAAACCTATAGTTTTGAATTAGAAGCACCAATAAGAAATTCTGATATATTCTTCCCTTGAAATAAAGTTTTCCCTGGGTCTGTCCTCTGAACAAAACATACAGTGAGCACTGTAGCTTCCAAATTTGGGAGGCGAAATACTGTTACTCAATAAAAGAAGACTAGACTCCTTGGAGAAATGGCTGAGTCCAAAACTGGGGCAGGGAGTGTGTAAGATTGTTGATACATCTTACCTCAGAAAGCAAAGATACTCTCAGAGGTTTCTGGGATCAGGTCAAAAAAGGTTCAGGGGCCAGCTGAAGGAAGCTAATAAAAATAACAACTGCACTTAATTGAAACACATCAGATATATCTTTAAATGTATGTGTTCCTCAGGCACAAAACCGGCAAAATCCCTCATTGGTTCAGTTAGGAAGATATTGGCGATGCAAGCTATATTTTTAAGATGGTAAATGAAGGGACGGAATCCAGTCCTTCTCCCACCTTTCCTGGACAAACTGTATAATGGGGTAACCACATAGTTAATGATGGGGAAGTTTTTCTCTCATTACAGTATTTCAGGTAAAAAGTGAAGCAAGAAAGGTAGAAATAAAGTATTGCCATTTTATAGCCCCTCACAGACTAAGGTTCTAAGCAGAGATCATGGATACCTGCACCAACACAGAAACAGGCAGACACTCATGTCTCTTATTGGAAGTACACGCTAGTCCATATAAATTATTGTTTCAGAAATAGTGCAAACCTGCATCTGATTAAGCCTCCGTATTCAGTTACCAGTTTACAGGAAAAACCAGGACCAAGTAACATGTTCAATGAGCCATGGGCATTCAGTCAGCAAATTCTAGGCTGCGGGGGACTCTACAGGACAAATTAAATTGGGAGGAAAAAAATTTTGAATTACAAGGAAAAAACAGATGGAAAGAGAGGGCAGAGCCTATAGGTTAAAAGAGACTTAAGACGTACACCAACCAATTGCAATGTTTGGAGTTTATTTGGTCTCTAATTCAAAGAAACTAGATAGAAAGAGAGAGATGGGGGTTGGAGGTGGGAGACAAAAAATATGACCAAGGAGGAAATGTGAACCTTAACTAGATATTTGACTATATTAAAGGATCATTTTTAATTCTTAAAGGTATAATAACAGGATGGTGGTTATGCTTCATTCAAAGAATTGTTGCCTTGTGGTGCCATATGCAGAAATACTGATGGAATGAAGTGACATGGTGTCTGCAGCGTGCTCTGTGGGGAGAGAATGGGGAGCATGCAGGCGAAGTAAGAGGTGCTTGCTGTGGAAGCTGGGAGATGCCTGGGTTCATTATATTATGCTCCCAGCTTTTATTTATATTTGAATTTCCAAAATGAGAACTGTTTTGTACAAGTGCATTTATTAAGGCAGTGTGCTCTTGGAATAAGAATAGACTGAGGCTTGCTAGAAGATGAGGCCTGGGTATTTTTTAAATGAAATCTAGTGAGGTAACTAACATTGGTTAATAACATATAAAAATTTCAGGTGTAGCCCTGACTGGTGTAGCTCAGTGGATTGAGTGCCAACCTGCAAATGGAGGGGTTGCTGGTTCGATTCCCGGTCAGGGCACATGCCTGGGTTGCTGACCAGGTCCCCCCGTGGGGGCGTGAGAGAGGCAACCAATCAATGTATCCCGCACACGTTGGTCCCTCTTTCTCCGTCCCTTCCCCTCTCTCTAAAAATAAATAAAATCTTTAAAAAAAAATTTCAGGTGTAAACAATATAATTCAGTATCTGCATAGTCTATTGCACGCTCACCACTCAAAGTCTAGTCTCCTTCCTTCACCATATATTTTACCGAATTCAAGAACTTTTTTGAAGCAGGTTAATTTTTTTAACCCGACTGATTTTCTTTCATCTTTATAATTCCTTTCATCCATCTTTCGGGAGGCGACTCATCAGAGTGACCACGTGGGACCTAACATACCCACCTGTTTTCAACCCCCTGCTAAAACCTATTCATTTCCAAGGCTGGTTGGTTTTTTTATGTGAAAGCTGTACTGCTCTTGTTGGTTCCTGGGGATGCTCAGAAGTCCTGACTGCTTGCTCTGTAGGCCCTGGGATCTCCAGCTATGGGAATACCCCCCAAGACGCCCCCAAAGCCTTCGAGGACTGCATGCAAAAAGTCCAGGAGCAGATTCCAGCGCACCTCCACAAATCCACGAGCGTCTACCTCGGGGCCACGGCTGGGATGCGCTTGCTGAGGTAAGGACAGGAGTGACACATGGGAGCCCGTTTGACCAAAATAGCCAAGAATGTGTGGGACCTTGCCAAGAACGTAACTCTATTCCTGGGAACAAATCCCAAAGAAGGAAGCCCGTATTCTGCCATAAATTTAGACTTTAAAAGTTGGGAAACTTTTCGTCTTTATTTGAATACCCAAAAAGGAACAGCGCTCACATCAATCCCCTTGCCCTTGACAATTTTAATGAGACCTCTGCTCATGGGAGTTTACGTCTCGATTTTTAGGAAAGTAGAAACTGTTTTTGACACCTGGTATTTTGTTATCTGTGCCCAGCCAACTCCGCGGAGGGCCACCCATTGCTATGCAGCTTGTACCCATGTATAAAATGTCACTGAATCGGCTTTAAAATAATGGAATTTCTACACCTCGCTCCAGCCGAAGCCTTTGGAGTTACTGTGAAACAAACATCTCATTTTCAGTCAAGTTAGCAGTTTCTTTTAAATGTGCAGCCGTGACTTTTAGCCTAGTTGCGTTGTTCCCGAATGCCTTTATCTTCATCTTTTTCTTATTATAGTATGTTTTGACCTTGAAATAAAAGAAAAATAGGTTTAAAAAAAAAAAAAAACCCACAGCACTTTAATGTAGCTAGGGTAGAGGCTGCTCCGAACTTTAAAAATAAGGCTTTCTCCCCCCAAAAATGACACTCATTCTGCCTCAAAGCCACTTTGTCTGCGATCCCAGTAATGTAAGACGATATGTGTGGACGTGAAGAAAATACAAAGGAGGAACAAACAGAGCCCCTTTAACGTGATCATCCAAAAAATAAATAAATAAATAAATAAAAGCCCTGAGGTGCTCTCAGCGGACTGGGCCTTTTTCTTGCAGTTTTCCTACTCTTGTTCCTTTTCCCCTGCCCTGGCTGACCAAGTAGAATGTGGAAGAAAGTCAGATTTCTTTGCTTACTCTTGGAATCTATAGTGTGTTTCAAAATTATTGAATTTACCTGAAGTAGAAATGATATAGAAATCCCTTCCGTCTGCCTTTTCTTCCTCCTGGAAACAAAGAACCCAACTTTGTCGTAGTTGCTTTTTCTTCCCAGTCCTCTGAGTGCGAAATAATCACAAAGCGCTGTAACATATAGCCCGTGACCAACACCACCATGGGAAAGTTCAACGCCTGGGAAAAACGTGAATGCACGTCCCATTTAGATAAATTATTAACTCCTTGTAAAAGTCTCTGATGGTGATCTATTTTCTTCTGAGCAACTAGCTGCCATTTTTAATATTTAATTAAATAGTTTTTAAAATGAATGAGAATCACCCTGGATGAGAACCAATAAAACAAGGAAAACTCTGCCTTATTTTCCATGCGTTGAGAGTTTGCCCCTGAATTGGAATGGATTTCTGCTTTTAGCATTGCTCCTTCTTCCTCAGCCAAGAGCGAGCCCACACCCCTGGCTTTCTCAACACGCTGACAAAAGGGAAAATAATGTCCCCAATGCGCTTGCTTCTGCAGGGTAAGATGGCAGCAGGTGAATGACATAACGCCGCGTCATGGGTGATGTAAGACTGCTATGTTGTGACCCCCTCCATCATGAGGAAGGCCTCCCGGATAGCGAAGCGGGCGACAGCTGGACACTCAGCCCTCTCCCTGTCCCCACCTCCTCCTAAGCTCCCCTTCCTCCTGGCCTGATGAGGGCTTCTCTGTACGGTGCCCCAAGAGATTACTGACACCACTCCTAGGCCCTGCCCAGGCTCCTCTCCTCCGCTGATCTGAGACAGCGCCCTGGGCATTAAGTGCAAGCCTCTTTTGATTAGCTCATTGCTAGAGAGTGGGACAGGAACGGGGAAGCGGGGAGAACAAGTGGTGTTTTTACTGGAATCTCTTTTCCTGTTTTGTTTGGCGGTCTGACAGGTAACGCGTGCGCCCTGCCTTCACTGTTACCCGTGAGGCCTTGGCTTGCAAAAGGGGATGCCGCGTATTGCACACACCTGGACAACGGCCCCGCCCGTGGCAGGGCTGGGAGGCTGCTGCCTTCACCTGCATGAGATTGTTTGAAGGCTCTGTCATGTGGACACTCAGCCTTTTGTGTTCTGTGCCTCTCATAGGTTGCAAAACGAAGCAGCAGCTAATGAAGTCCTTGCAAGCATCCGCAACTTCTTCCAGTCCCAGCCCTTTGATTTTAGGGGTGCGCAGATCATTTCTGGGCAAGAGGAAGGGATATATGGATGGATTACAGCCAACTATTTAATGGGAAATTTCCTGGAGGTGTGTGAGCACAAATGCATGGTTTTTATTCTTGCTCTTCATCCCTTCCCCTGGGGGTGGTAGCTTCCGCAGAGGTGTAGCCAACAGGGGCACCTGTCCTGTGTCGTTCCTGTTGTGTACTGGATTAGGGAAACACCTGTGAGACAAAACGAAGAAAAGACACATACAGTTGGTGCAAAACCTTGGATCATAAGCAGGACCGAGTGTACGGGGAGAGGGAATACCGCTTTACCAGCTGATAAGATGTTGTAGGAGGGAGGATGAGAATTTTAGCAGTGGGCTTTGGGTAACTTGAAGGGCAGCTGGAGAATGACTCCTCTAAGGTGTTGCAGAGCCTCCTGGAATTTACAGAGCCTTCAGGCAGTCTGCTTCCCCGGGTCCCCGGGTCCCCGGGTCTCCTTACCCTCCCTCCCTTCTCCTTTGGTGCAGAGGAAAGCTGACTCGAAGAGACAATGACCATGTTACAGGGGGTGTAAACTGAGGACACCCCCACCCTATACAGCCCAAGACCGATTCCGTTCCTCCTCAGATATATTTTTTACATTTTAATGAATTGCCAGCAGTTAATATTTTAGAAATTTCACAGTTCCAGCTTCTCCTGACCTCACGCCCCAAACGCTAGAAGTGCTGGTCACAGGGGACTCACGTTCCTGCATGGAAACAACCAACTGGAACAGAACGCAGCACGCGCCCTGCCCAGTTTGCCACAGGCCCCGCCATTCCCTGTTGTCTACACCTAACCTGCTTGGCTCGCGCATGTTGCCTGCCTGGCCCCTGTGAGCATTTCGGTCTACCACCCCGGACACAGAGGAGAGATGTGGCCCTGAATGCTTCCCATGTGCCCTAGTTCTTAGCAGTAAGAGATGGGTCTTGGGTGGAGAGCCCTGGACAAACAGAAATGGTGTTTTTGGCCTTTTTTCTGGCTTCCTTTTCCCACTGTGCAGAAGGACCTATGGCATATGTGGGTGCATCCAAACGGAGCGGAGACCACAGGCGCCCTGGATTTAGGTGGTGCCTCCACCCAGATATCTTTTGCGGTGGGAAAGACAGTGGAGCTGAACACCAGTGACATTGTGCAGGTGACCCTGTATGGCTACATGTACGCACTCTACACACGCAGCTTCCAGTGCTATGGCCGCAACGAGGCTGAGAAGAGATTTCTGGCGATACTCCTTCAGGTACCTGAGCGGGGAGAGCAGGTGTTTCCTTGGGGGTCTTAGCTGAGGGCAGGGTGCCTTGTCTTCTGGGGTCTGTCCTTTTCAGTCCACTTCGAAGGTAGATGAAAACAACAGCGTTTCCTGGTTTACTCGCGCACCCTATGTCTGTTGTGTTGACCACTTCCAGTGTTATTTGAGTTAGAATACCAAGGAAATTCCAGATCTCCAGAAGTTTTATACATACGATTCAGGTCCCGGGATCCCTTTATGGACACAAACTGTTTTAAGCCAGTAGCTAAATAAGCCTGAGAATTTTGAGACTCCCTGTGTGTTCAGACAAAATAATAACAGTGGCCACGAGAGACATGCTTGTCGACCGGGCAGAGGCAGCGCCGTCCCCAGGCTCAGCCTCCTGGTAAATGGACCTATATTAGGCAGGCTTGACGCCCTTTATATGGTGGGATTTTAGAGCCACTGAATTCCATCATTTCGGACAGTAATTCGCATGGTAACCGTTCCATGACCCCGACGGCTGCTTCAGGCATCAGCTGTGAGGCTGTTGCTGCTATAAACTCAGGGTCATGTAGTGTGTGTCAGACAGTGCTAGCTCCACAGATGACACCCCAGGCCCCCACTCCAGTCCTCCAAGGACATCTCTGTCACCACGGCTGAGAAGGGAAGTCGAAGGGAAGGGGCCTTCACGACCCACAGGGACATGAGGCCAGCCAGAGGACACAGATCCTGGCTTCTGGTGGGACCCGGGGCAAGGGGCAGGGCAGGGTCAGCCTGTGAACATGGTGGACCCGGAATCATTAGGGAAACCGTGGCCCCTCCAACCGCCCTTGGTAACGGAGGAAGGGAGCAGCATGCCCCGAGGCCAGCCCGTGTAAAGACCGGGCTGGCTCACGGAAGTGTGGTCAGCAGAACTCACACCCTCAGACCCGTGTACTGACTGAGCAGTCGTGCAGGGTGGGGTATGAGGGCTAAGCCTCCAGCTCCCGTCCACCCCCTGCAGTTTTTCTCCCAGCCCCACAGGAAAGGCTGCAGCCTCAGGACACATGCACGTGACCTGTGTGGTCAAGAGAGGCTGAGCACTGCGTGGGCGGCCTTCTGCTGCTCCTCAGGGCCCTGGAGACTCAGGGCCCACCCCAGACTCTGGACTCCCTCCCCCACCTCCAGCCAAACCAACCCTAAGGGAGCCCACTCTACTCACCCCAGCAAGGCCTCCGTCACCACCTCTCCCCTCCACTGGCTCCTTAAAGTGTTGCAGTCGACCTGCTTCTTTCCAAGAGAGAAGCTCCAGGGCACCCTCTTTTCTCCACCTCCTCTTATTTCAGGCAATGCTTAGTGCCCTGATGCTCCTTCTCCAGCTCTGGCCCTGGCCGGGGAGGGAGGAAGGGGAGGCAGGGAGAAGGGCCCCCTTGGAACTCTGGCAGGAGAAAGAGGCAGTGAAATCTTCCTTCTCCCAGGGTGAGTGGGGGGCGGGTCAGAGACTCTAACCTTTTAGATTCTGCTGGCCCCAAGCAACACTGCACCCGGCTGAGGTCTCCTTTAGCTTTGAAACCACAAGCCTGCGGGTGTGAGGCCAGGATGGGGGCGGGGGATGCAGAGGTGCGATACGCCCGTCTCTCACGGTGGACAGTCAGCTCACAGGCGCCGGCCATCCCATGTGCCTGGTGGCCTCTGGATGCACGAGAAGGTGCCTTCTGAGCCGTCTGACTCAGTGAGGGAAAGGGTCCAGGGGCAACAAGGATCGCCCACAAATGCACGCCCGGACCTGCCTGCTCCACACGTCCATGAGCCAGATCTACGAGGGCAAGGCCGACGCGGATGGTTCCCGCCGATGATCACATCAGGAACACTGGCGAAGTCATTTCTGCCTCTCTGGGCCGCCTTTCCTCTTTTGTAACAGAAGGGCCTGGCGGTGTGGCGAGGACACGTAGATATATACGTGGCCATTATCCTCTTATCAACAAGCTCCCAGCCACCCTAGCGCTCAAGTCTCACTCTGACAGTGTGTTAGACATCAGGGATGTGCATTCGCTTTCTTTCTTTCCTTCTTTCCGTAAGATTTTTTTTCCCCGTTTGTTTTTAAAGTAATATGTGTTCAGTATTTAGCTTCAGTCAAGAAATTACTGTAGGGAAAACAAGATGATTTAAAGGCTTTCCCATTAGAGTTCAAATACTGTTTCTTTGAAAAGAGAGTTTATAAACAGAACCAAACACACTACGGAATGTAGCATAAGATAAAGGGAACTTTTTTTTTTCCACCAGTAAATAAAAGATTAGATAGTCATCAGGAAAAAATAAAGTAAGCTTCCTACCATACTCTTTATACTTAAAGTAAGTTACAAATGGATCAAAGATTTATATGTAACAAGGATGTTTATTGCAGTGTTGTTTGTAACGGAAAAATGATTGGAAACTGCGTAAGTTTTCATTGAGAGGGAATTTCTTAAATAAATTATAGTTTATTTGTACAGTGAAATTCTATGCAGCTACTAAAAAGAAGAGGCGGTGCTACCTGAACAATAAATGGAAAGATATCAAATATGGATGGGTTTTTAAGTAAGAAAAACAAGGGACAGAACAGTGTGTAGAGTACTACCACTTACGGTTTTTAAAAAAGAAAGAAGGAAGAAAAGAAAACATATTTGCATATGCATATAAGCAGTACAGACAAATCTCTGGGAGAATACACAAAGACCGGCAACAGACGTCACTTCCAGGGAGGGGACCCAGGGAGTGGGAGGGGGTGAGAGGGAGACAACTTTCATAACGTATTTCTGTGTCCCCTTTGGACTATTTTATTAGGTGGACAGATAACACTTCATTCCCAATGGTCAATGAATCTCAGCGTACCTTGTTTTCTCATCAAAAGGGAGCTCATAAAACCTGCTTCACAGGGTTGTCACGGGGGCTGGGACAGGTCATGGGAGCTAGCGCCTGGCCCGGGCCTGGTGCAGGTGACCGTGCCCCCACTGCCACTTGAGGTATTTAGACAACTTGAGAGTCGCCCTCAAGTACCCACTGACCGAGAATGGCATTTTTTCCATTTCTCTCTTGACATTAGAGAGTAATGATGATGAGAAATCGCAAAAAAAAAAAAAAAAAAAAAAAAAGGTATTTGGTCCTTCACAAAAGAGTGATTTCTAATAGCTCATTCTTTTTAAAAATTTTATTTATTTGTTTTTAGAGAAATGGGAAGAGAGGGAGAGAAACATCAATCAGTTGCCTCTTCGACATCCCTGACCGGGACTCAAACCAGTGACCTTTTACTTTGCAGGACAATGCTCGACCAGCTGAAGCCACGCACGTCAGGGTTCTAATAGCTCACTGTTGTCTCTGCAGAATTCTACCACCAAAACTGATGTCATCAACCCCTGTTACCCTCGGGATTATACCACCTCTTTCACTGAGGGCCACATATTTGACAGCCCATGCACGAAGGATCTGAATCCTGGAAGTTATGACCCCAATGGCAACATCACTTTCAAAGGAACTGGGGACCCGTTGCTGTGTAGGATGAAGGTAGCTTCCCTGGTAGCGTTCAAGGCTTGCCATGAGCAGGAAGTCAGCTGCTTTGATGGGATTTACCAGCCAGAAGTTAAAGGATCTTTTGTGGTAAGAGCAAAAGCCACTGAAATGGTACCTTTCCTTCCCGTTGAATATTTATTTCTCACCTTTCTGTTTTTCTTCTGCTCACCTGGTTCCCAATTTCTTACTCCCCTCCCCGGAACGAACCCCCATCATCTGTCCCACTCTGAGAGCTGATGTCCTTCCGTTCTGGGTCCTTCCAGGCCTTTGCAGGGTTCTTCTACACGGCCAGCGCTTTAAATCTTTCCGGCAGCTTTTCCCTGAACACCTTCAACTCCAGCACCTGGAATTTCTGCTCTCAGGATTGGAGTCAGGTCAGTATTTAAAGAGAAAGGGTCAACAGCAGTACAAAGCAGTAGAGCAGAGTCTATTCCCCTTGCATGCAGGTGCCAGTAAGTTCTGAACTTTGCCTTTATGCTGTTCTGCTTTTCACCCCATAAAATGGGAGCACAAGGGACCTTTTCCCGTGTCCTGGATTAACATTCTAACCATGGGCGCAATGGTGAGAACAGCGTTTGGCACACGTTAAGTAAACGCAGAGGTTGTTCTTACATGATGCCGTGGAGGGATATTTTCAATGTTATGTAATTCCATTAATTTATAGTAATGTTATGATGAGAGTCTGGGTGGTACGGTTCTTTCAGATAGGGCTGTTGCCTGACGGTGTTCCGACCTGTGCATTTTAAATCCTGCCTGCCCGCCTTCCCCCTCAGCTCCCGCAGCTGCTCCCCCGGTTCGATGAAGTCTACGCCCGCTCCTACTGCTTCTCAGCCCACTATGTCTACCACTTGCTCGTGAGTGGGTACAAATTCACCCAGGACACCTGGCCCCAGATACATTTTAAAAAAGAAGTAAGTCAGAACACAAATCTTTTCCTCCTCTTCTTCGCAAAATAGAGGTTTGTGTGTCTGTGTGTGAAAGAGGAGCCTGATCCCTTGTGAGCTTCCCAGGAGCGAGGATGGGGAGTCCAGAGGAGGCTTGGACCCTGCAGACCCCTCCCAGTGAGGAAAGGCTTGGGAGCCCAGGACCCCTGGGCTCTGAGTTCTGTGCAGGCAGGACTCGCGTCCTCATCCTCGGATTCCTACCATTCAGCACGGGGACGAGAACTGGGGTGATGCTCAGTGAATATTTGTTGAGTGAATAAATAGGTAGGTTAAGGATTTGAGATTTTTCATCCCAAAGAGAAGCTTCAAATAACCCTGGCTGGTGTGGCTCTGTGGACTGAGCACTGGCCTGTGAACCAAAGTGTCGCCGGTTTGATTCCCAGTCAGGGCACATGCCTGGGTTGCAGGCCAGGTCCCCAGTTGGGGGTGTGCGAGAGGCAACCACACATTGATGGTTTTCTCCCTCTCTTTCTTTAAAAATAAATAAATAAAATCTTTTTAAAATACTAAGGTTTAAAAAAAATCTTCAAATAGAACAATATTTTCTTAAAAAGAGGATAGTACCTAATTGCTCTCCATTTACACAGTGTCAGAGTAGAGCACTGGCTTTAGAGCCTGAAGGCTCTAAATTTTCCCTTGGACTGAACCTGAGGCACTGTACTTACTGTCAAGTGTCCAGAACTGGCCAAAGCGGGAATCACAGCAGTTCCCAGGGAGCTGGGGATGGGCCTGGGACCCTGCATTCAGGCCGAGGCACCCTTGCTGATCTCTTCATCCTGCACTATGTTCCCTGGCTCTGGGAGGGTATTCTGGTTTCCAGAATAGCAGGTGCAAAGCCTGAAGGATCTCTCCAATCAGTCTGTTCAGTATCAACTTTGGCAATAATTAGATTAAGCCAATCAACATCTGACATTAGGTCTGTGACTGTCTTTTACATAAATAAAATTGAATCATGTACAAGGAAAGGAGATGTCTGGAGACATATGAGGACTATTGGTGGCATGTTCTCTCTAGGCTTTGTTTCATGATCTAATTACTAGGCATTGCGAGGAGGGAGAAAAACTTTCCATGAAACACCAGCCTGGATGCACACAGAATTCTAGGCTCCACATTCCTTCCCTTTATTTATAAAGAATTTCCTATCCAGCCGAATTAGTATTCAAATGTGAGGGCACAAAAAGACTTCAGAAGATTGGCTGCACAGAGATGTAATATCAACGTTATTTTTGGAGGAGGTACTCAAATAAGAATAGAAATAAATCCAGGAGATGTTATAAAACACATATGCAGAGTAAGGATAAATGATATTGTGGCTTAAAAGGTATATTTAAAAAGAGAAAAAGAAAACTAACATCTCCCCTGCCCTGAAAAGGGAAGTGAAAGAGAAGAATTCACCCACATACCAGAACAACTGGTATTTCAAGAATAGCCAACAGCCAATGTGATTGGGAAGGGGCAGGTGGTCATAGGGGACAGCAACATAGAAGTGGCCTTTTTAAAGTGCTCATCTTCTAAAGGAAACACCACACGCAATTTGTAAGGCAAGAAAGGAAAAATAAATAAACATAGGAAAATGTCACTAATCGAAAATTTAAAACTAAGATATTAGAAGTCCCAATATATCAATAATTACAATAATCATAAATGGACTAAACCCACTGGTTAAAAAACAAATACAGACTGGGTTTTAAAAAAATCAAGTAATGTGGTTTATAAGAGAAACATTTTGAAGAAACACTTAGACTTTACACATAAGAACCCAGAAAGATTAAAAGGTAAAAAAAAAAATTTTAGGTGTCAGGCAAACATCACCTAAAAGAAAACCAGTGTAGCTATTTAATATCTGGAAAAGAAACATATTCTTTAAGATAAAGAGCATCATTCGAGAGAGAGGATGACAACATAATGATAAAAAGTCCGATTCGTCATGAAAATTGGAAATGCGAAATATTTATCCAGCCAATAAAACAACCTAAAAATGTGTAAACAAACAGCGGTGGCACTACCAGAAGAAATTGACAAAGCCAATCTTTTAGAAACTGACCTTTGCTTTAGGGAACACTCATTACCTTCTTTCTTCACCACAGACACTCTGTACAGCTGACAGTAAGAAAGTTTTCACTGTTACTAACGGTGCCCTCATCGTACTCGGCTGTAACGAGAGCGTGAGGATTAGTTCTGACTTTCTCTGCAGGCCTGGAGGGAGGCTCTCTCGAGCCTTTGGGATTCCAGCCCAGTCTCTGCAGCGGCTGACCTTGGGCAAGACCTTTGACCCCCTTTCCTATGGGTGTTTCGTGCTGGTGACGGTGGTGTGCCTGCGTATGCAATCCCCACCTTGCCCTCTGCTCTGAGACTGAGCCATGTCCTCTGCTTCACAGGTGGGAAACAGCAGCATAGCCTGGTCTCTCGGCTACATGCTCAACCTGACCAACCAGATCCCAGCTGAAATGCCCCTGATCCACCTGCCCATGCAGCCATCTGCCTTCCTAGGCATCCTGGCCTTCTCCACAGGAGTGGCCTTGCTGAGCCTGGTCTCCCTCGTGTGCCTGTATGTGTCGTCCGGGGACCGCCAGCACTCCCAGCATGTGTTGGACCACACAGTGGATTCTGAGTGAGCCTCGGGAAGCGGCCCCTGGAACCCGAGGGCCGCCCGGACCCAGCCTGGGCGGCACCAGATACTGCAAGTGAAATGCCCGTCTGTTGGAAACACAACCAAAGTCAAGTACTTAGGTCGTGTGCCTCTCAGATACTGATTTATGCCAAAGCACCTCTTGGGGAGTCCCTCGACTGTTCTGTGCACGATGCTCCTGCAGAGATGCCACCACCCGCTTGCTGACCTCCTGGCGAACAGAGGAGATGGCCATCAAGGCCAGGCCCTTTATTCCAGTGCCCAAGAGGAAGAGTAAGCTAAGCCTGTGAGAGTTTGAAGTTGAAGAATTGACCTCAGGGCCCATTCAGCACTCTCTCCTCCCTCAGAAAGGCCATATTCCTCCTGGCACATTTGGAAGCTGCCAGACACCCACTAAGCATTTGACACAATCAGATGTCTCATGTAATGGCTTCCTCTTCTCGGTCCTTAACTGAGACTTTCCTCTAGCAACCCCATAAACATCGAGCTCCCTCAGGTTGGTAGAATACAGTGTGTGAGAGAGAAAACTTTACGCCCAAGGACAGTGGCCTCAGCCAGCTTCCGTCATGCAGGCAGAATCTGAAGGAGAGAGATGTACAGCAAGTCTCCCAGAAAACTCCTGGCTGTTCCCAAAGTGGGATTCCCACTCGGGCCTCTGGTCCTTAAACTGCAGCCGGGGTGTGTGTGTCATGATCCCCACCTCCCCTTCACATTGCTCTTGTCGCCCTGGGAAACGTTTTGGGTATTGCATCCCAGGTCTTTTTACCTTTGCTAGGCTTTGTTTCTGCTGTCTTTCCATTGTTAGCATATTGTGTACATTCTGTCTCCCATTTCTACAGGTATACTTGATGCTGTCACAAGACATCTTATTTATGGTTTGCTTACCAATTACTTACCTAGATGGTAGACCTCGCTGCATAGTAGCCATAGTTCTTGACTTTGGGGAAAGGAAAGGAAGCTGAAGAGACATTTAAATCCGAAGTTGGATGAGAAAGAACTCCAGCATGTCCAATGGCTACCAAGTAAAAACCAACATGATTTTGGATTGTTGTTTGGTAGCCCCTATGGAATAAAGGACGCATTTCATTTTGACTTGCAGAATGTGTGTTTGTCACCTTGCATATGGCACTCTTTCTCCTAAGGTCCCAAGGTGATAGTCATGAGAAGAACTTTTAAAAATTCAGAACATTTTCTTAAGAAAAGTTTTCTAGTGAGTAAGAAAATTATGCATGAATATCACCTTTATTCCAGAGAGTTCAAAGGGCTTACCTTTGATTAACCCTTAGCTCCCAGAGATAACTGGTGCTGAACATTTCTTTGCCTTATTTGGCAGTGAAGCTTTTGTGAGCCCACAGCCGGCCATTCAGATCTTAATTCTTATCCAGAACGGCTGCTCCCTTCCCAAAATGCACTTTTGCTCACATAGTTCTCCCTACCTAGACTGTTGATCATCCTCACACCCATCCATACAACGCTCATTTCTCAAGGCCCAATTCTAGCTCTACTTCTTCCACAAAGCTGTCCTTACACACACACACACACACACACACACACACACACACACACGTCTATCTCCTGGACCACCTTTTCAAAACTAGTTACATTATAATATATTATTTATATTTGTGTACACATATGACTTGTTTCTAAAATAGACAGAAGGCTACTAAAGAGCCAAGCCTGCCATTCATCACTCACTCATTCATTCAATAGACACCGAAGAAACGCCTACTGTGGCCCTAACATTTTGCCAGGTGTGATCTTGAATTTGGATATGTGCTATGAATGTGTTATACACTGAATATATTGTTTGATTGCTATGGCTTCCATAAATGACTGAGGGGTGGGCAATAAATTCTAGAGCTATCAGATAAGAACAGCATCCAAATCACTTAGAGTTTACAAGAACAAAAGGATACGTCTGCACAAGAAAGAGAGCCAAGGCTTCTTGAAAGCAAGTCACAGTCAGTGTTTCTAGCCCATTTGAGATTTTGGAATAAGCTAATGAAGTATTTTGGGTTTTCCAATGTATATCAAAGGATCTTCTTGTTGTGTTGTGTTGTATTTTTTTTCCCTTATCAAAGAATCTTAACAGATGGACCATCACAAAATCTTTAGGCCAAGTCACATATCTGGGACTGCTGTGGCAGGCAGGAGCCGAAGGTGCACCCCAGGATATGCACCCTGTGGTGTTGCTCCCAAGATTAGGTTGTTACATGAGGACATAAGGGATTTGCAGATGGAATTACTAATCAGTTGACCTTAAAATGGAGAGATTATCCAGGTAGGCGTAACCTCATCAGATGGGGTCTTTAAAGGCAGAGAGTGTTGCCTCCCGAGCAGTCAGTCATATTCAAAGCATGAGAAAGATCTGACTGTTGTGAGCTTGAGGATGGAGAGGGCTGGGTGGAAGTGGCCTGAGGGCATTTCCTAGGCACTAAGAGCAACCCCTTGGTTGACAGCCACCAAGAAACGGGGACCTCAGTCCTACAACTGCAAGAAACTGGGTACTGCCAACAACCTGAATGAACTTGGAAAGCAGGTCACCCTAGAACCTCCAGATAAGAGCCCTGCCCAGTAAACATGTTGATTTCAGCCTCGTGGACCCTAAGCAGAGAACCCAGGTGAGCCCACCTGGGCTCTGACGTACGGAACTGTGAGGTAATAAACCGAAGTGTCTGTAGGCCACCAGGTTTGTAGCAATTTGAAAGTTAATAGAAAGTTAATGCAACTGCAGAACCCCAAGCCCCAAGGCTCCAGCCAGAGCCAGGGCTTACGTTTGAAATACTTGGTGAAGGTAAAAGTGATTAGGTATCACAAACTGTGCCCGTGATTGGCAATATCCGTACAAGAAAGGCATGGACTCAGAGGTAAAATAAAACTCCAGCACCACCCAGCTAGTAAGCAGTTTTGGAGATAGAGATTGTGAGTTCAGATCCTGACCTGCTTGAGTCTAAAGCCCTTCCCATTTATCGTATATCCTGTTGCAGAGAAAGGCAGTATTGTGGCAGTTAGGAGTTCGGCCTTAGAATTTTCTAGTCCAAAATACCCAGTCATATATAGTCACTTGATTTATGACAGAGGTGTCACATCAGAGCAGTGAGAAAAAAGGGGGGCAACTGGATTTCCATAAGGGAACAAAAAAAGGAAATTCAATCCCTCCTATCACTTTCAAAACTATTTCCAGGTAGGTTAAAGACTTAAGTATGAATGATAAATCAGTAAAGGTTTGGAAATAAAATGTAGAGGAAACATTTTAAGATCTTGAGTAAGGAAAGCATTTCTTAAATACTGCAAACACAAAAGCCTTACCCTTAAGAGAGTAATTGATATGCTTGATTACATTAAAATTAACTTCAGTTCATCAAAAACCACCATTATAAGAGTGATAAGACAAGCTACAGAGTGGAAGAAGGTATGTACAACGTAAATGACCAACAAAGAACTAGTTTCTAAATTTTATGGAGAATTCCTAAAAATCATGAGGAAAAGGCAGGTGATCCATTTTTTTTCTAAATGGGCAAAAGACTTGAAAAGGCACTGAACAAAAGGAGGAACCTAAATGTTCAATAAATATGAAAATGTGCTCAATCTTATAAAATATGTCAGTGTAATGCATACTAAAACTGCAATGAGATAACAATGTAAATTAAAGCAGCCACTCTGGGAAACTGTGGTATGGTCTAAAAACTTGAGATATGCTTACCTAATGATCCGGAAATTCTGGTCCAACAAATATACCTTAGAGAATAAGTGTTCTAAGGTATACATGCATATATACACCAGGATACACACCTAAGAATATTCTACTAGCAACCAACATGCCAATCCCATAAAATGAAGGAATAAATAATGATACATCTGTACTAGAAAATACCACACAACATGAAAATAAAAGAACTACAAATGTCTGTTCAATATGGATGGCTCTTACAAACACAGGATAGTAAGTCATTATATATCTGTAATTCCATTTATATAAAGGTCAAAAACAGGCAAAACTAAATGCAGAAGATAAACTCTAAAGAAAAGCAAGAAAATTATTACTCTTAAATTTGGGGGGAAATAGAGGTTGTGTTTGGAAAGGGATAAACAGATGTCTTAGTCTGCTCAGGCTGCCATAACAAAATACCAGAGACCAGATAGCTTAAACAACAGAAATCTAATTTCTCATAGTTCTGGAAGCTGGGAAGTCCTAGATCAAGGTGCCAGCCGATTCAGCTCCTGGTGAGAGCTCTCTTTCTGGCTCGCAGACAGCTGCTTTCTCACTGAGTCCTCACATGGTCCTGCCTCTGTGCTTGTGCAGAGAGAGTGCACTCTCTGGCGTCCTTTTTATAAGGGTACTATTCCCATCGTGATTAGTGGGCACCACCTCATGAGCCCAGGTACCCCTAATTACCTCCAGAAAGCCCCGTATCCAAATACCATCACATTGGGGGTTAGGATTTTTAACAAATGAATACTGAAGGCATGCAAACATTCAGTTCATAGTAACAGGACTTCTGGGGTGATAGAGATATTTTATAACTAGTTAGTACTAGTTACAGGTGTTCCTTTTTTTTCAACCATTTATGCACTTCCTGTACAGCCTTTGAGACCTTTAAAAAATAAAATTATAGATCTGAGTTAACTCAAGAGTTTTCTGTTTGCTACCTCTGTGATCTCATGAAGCCTTTCAATCTCTTTGAGTCTTTATTTCTTCATGCATGCAATGGGAATACTATCTTATCTCATGGGATAGTGGAGAAAAGAGAAATTTAGTACTTAGCCAATTTCTGACATGGAGTATAGTCAATGAATAAAAGTTTTAAAAAGTATTCATTTCATCCATTTACTTATTCATTCATTCACTTATCAAACATTTGCCAAAAAGTGTATTGTTTGCTAAATAAGTGCTTGGCTGAGTTCAGACTGTGGTTGGAAAGGAGACAAGTATCTTTCTTCTTGAAACACATAAGACAAGAAGGCTCTCTGCTGGAACCACGGAGAAAATCTTTCCCAGGTTGGGTCCTTTTTTTTCTTCTTCTTCTTTCTTTTCTCCCTAATTAAAGATGATGGGGAAAAAAAATCATTAGTTCAAACATATTTTTAATATTATCAAATAATGAGTCAATTGGAAATCTCAACATTTGATGATATAAAGGATTGCTGTTCTTGTTTATGTGAGATAATGGTCTTACACTTTTTTTTTTTTTCAAGAATCCTTACCATTTAGATGCCAAACTATTTCCAGATGAAATGGTGCATCTGATATAGCAGTCAGGGTTTAACCAGAGAAATAGAACCAGTAGGAGATACACATAAAGATTTTTTTTTTTTTTTTTTTTGCCAGAAATCCCTTATGTGATTGTCGGGGCTGGGCAGGAAAGTCTGAAATCACTGGGCAGGCTGTCTGGAAGGGCAGGCTGGAACCCCAGGCTTGAGCTATAGCTACTGTCCACAGGTGGAACTTCTTTCTTGGGGAAGACTTGGTTGGCTCCACTCTGAAGATCTTTCAACTGATTTATTCAGGCTCACTAAGATTACCCAGGATAATTTCCCTTAAAAACAACCAGTTATGGGCTTTAATCATATCTACAAAATACCTTAACAACACCTAGATTAATGAATAATGGAATGTTGTAGTCTAGTTGTATTGACATATAATGTTGACCATCACATCTGTGAATTGATTCGAAATAACACAGAAAGGGAGATATGGATAGGATAACACTACCAGTCCTCCCGGTGGTTGGATCAGCAGTCTGGGTGTCCTGGAAGAGGCCTTACCCAAGCTCCGCATGTGCTTGGTCGGGGGTTTAGTTTTTGATGTCAGTAGCTGCTAATAATTAGCTTGCTCATTTCTGCATGTCTGTGACCTCTCAAGATGGACAAGGCTTACCTAGACAGTTACCTTGCCATTATCACAGAGCTTCAAAGAAATCTGAAAACAGCCTGGGGCTGCTTGGGAAGGAATCTCAAAATGCTTCTTCAAGGACCCATTCTCCATGGAGAATGAGGAGCACATCCTAAGAAGGGGGCGGCCAAC